TGCCGAGCCGGCCCGGCCCCAGGCTTCCTGTGTGCGCGCCCGCCCGCTACTGTTTCCCCGCGGGAGCTCGTTGGGCCACCCCGGCCTACCGGCCCCATCCCATGGCCCAGACCCCCGACGGCATACCCTGTGAGTTACGAGGTAAGCGCTGTCCCTTCTCGCCACATTGGTTGGGGGGAAACAGTGTGGGCCCCCAAGCCAGAAGCCTGGCCAGCCGGAGGTTCTCTGCGCACCTCCGGAGCGCCAGTACCCCCGGATCCACTCTACTCCTCCTTTGCTGGCCCACAGATGGGCTCCAGGCTCCCAGCTCTCGAGCCCAGCCAAGGCCTGGGCTTAAGTGGCCTCCATAGGAGGACCAAAGTCACTCAGCAGGCTACCCTTCCACAGGCGAGATCACCAGGTTCCTGTGGCCTAAGGAGGTGGAGCTGCTGCTGAAAACCTGGCCACCCCAGGAGGGCGCTGAGCGTAACCACGTCCTGGTATGGTGGGCAGGGGGGCAGAGCCCAGCAGGTCCAGCGGAAAGAGCCTCTGGCCCTGCCTAGAGTATCCAGCTGCCCCCTATCCCCACCAGGCACTGCTGCGATGGAGAGCCTACCTGTTCCACACCTGCCCCCCACTGAAGGTGAGTCTCGGCCTGGCCAGCAACCAGTATCTACCTTGGTGAGAGGCTGTGTCCAGGTATCTGGGCTGTCCTCGGGGTCTCTGACTTCCCGACAGCATGGGGCTCCCAACAGGCAGAAGTGGAAGTCAGGCGGATCTGGCACTGGCCTCCCATGAGGGTGGGGCTGGGGGCTTGGTCCATCTGACCCAGGTGCCCCCTAGGTGGAGTGTACATTCAGCTACCTGGAGGTCCAGGCCATGGCACTGCAGGAGACGCCCCCTCAGGTGAGACATCTTGTGCCCCACCTGGGCGGTACCCTGGTCTTCATTCTGCACCCCCCTTCCCCACACGTGGAGCGGAGCCCAGCAGCCCTCCCTCCCCAGGTCACCTTTGAGCTGGAGTCCCTGACCGAGCTGGTCCTGGAGTTCCCTGGTGTGGCTGCTCTGGAAAAGCTGGCCCAGCATGTAGCTGCGGCCATCAGGAAGGTTTTCCCCCGTTCCACCCTTGGGTGAGGCATGGCACCTCCTAGGGGCTGGCAGGGGAGGAGGGAGGCAGGGGGCGCTCTGCTCCAGATGGATGTGAATGGGCTCTCGCCATCCCAGGGGCTAGTGGTCCCTTGCCCCGCTCCTCCTGTACTCCTCCCTAGGAAGCTGTTCCGGAGGCCTACACCCCCCTCAATGCTGGCTCGGCTGGAGAGAAGCAGCCCCTCAGAGTCCACCTTACCCGGCAGCCCCTGTGGTGAGGGTCCAGCAGGGCCACACACACCTCCCAGTCTCCCCTAGCCCCTGCAGCCCAGTGTCCTGGAGTTGGGAGGCTCCCAAACTGAAAAGAGCCACTTGGGTCACAGCTACCACCCAGCCCAGGGCTGAGTCTGATCTTCCTCAACTCTGACCTTTTGTCTCTGGCACTTCCCCAGGTGGCTTCTTGGAGACATATGAAGCTCTGTGTGACTACAATGGCTTCCCTTTTCGAGAAGAGATTCAGTGGGTGAGAGCAGGGTCCTCTCGCGGGGGGGACCTTGGAGACATCTGGTCCCTCCTGTGCACCAAGCCCCTCCCTGCCCCTGTGACTTGTAGATTTCTCTTCCTCTTCAGGATGTGGACACCATCTACCATCGTCAGGGCTGCCGCCATTTCAGCCTAGGAGACTTCAGCCACCTTGGCAGTCGGTGCGTGGCTTGCCAGGAATAGGGGAGGAAGACCTGTGGCCCTGGGTTCCCAGGCCTGAGCTCTCTGCAAAGAGGGTGCTGGGCTTGGGATGTGGCAGGAAGGCTTTGAGCTCTGTCCCTGCCTTTTCCCGTCACCTAGGGACCTGGCCTTGAGTGTGGCCGCCCTGTCCTACAACCTGTGGTTCCGGTGCCTCTCCTGTGTGGACGTGAAGCTGGTGAGGGTGCAGGGGCAGGCCGGACACGGGGCTGGGGTGGGGCACAGCGGCTGAGCCACGCCCCTCTGGTTCTCAGAGCCTGGAGGTCTCAGAACAGATTCTGCATATGATGAGCCAGTCCTCGCATTTGGAGGAACTGGTGCTGGAGACCTGCGGTCTGAAGGGGTAAGTCTTGTGGAGGGGAGTCTGGGGCCTGCAGCTGGAGGCTAGTGGCCTGCAGAGGGATTAGGAGTCTCACGTCTGGGGTCTGGTCCCCAGGGACTTTGTCCGGCGATTAGCCCGGGCACTGGCAGGACACTCGAGCTCTGGGCTACGGGAGCTCAGCCTGGCGGGGAACTTGCTGGATGACAGAGGTAAGGCTGAACCTGGAGTACCTGGGGTTGGCGGCTGGAGGGCCAGACTGAGGACTGTCCCCACCCCCCAGGTGTGGCTGCACTCAGCAGGCACCTCGAGCACCGTCCAGGAGCCCTGAGGAGACTCAGCCTAGCGCAGACTGGGTTGACTGCCCGAGGTAGGTGGGGGCCAGGGGCCCCGGGGGGGTGGGAGAAGGTGGGCCTGCCAGCTTGCTGAGCCCCCTCTGCCACCACCAGGAATGCGGGCTCTGGGCCAGGCACTGGCCACCAATGCTGCCTTCAGCTCTGCCCTGAGCCACCTGGACCTTTCTGGAAACCCTGGGGCTCTGGGGCCCTCTGAGGACAGCGGGGTAAGTGGCCATCTTTAGAGTCAGTCACTGGGATATGAGGCAGTCTTGGGTGAGCATCCCTGATGCCCTCCTCCCCGACCCTCCCACCAGGGCCTCTACAGTTTCCTGAGCCGTCCTAATGTCCTCACCTTCCTGAACCTCGCAGGCACCGATACTGCCCTGGACACTGTGAGGGGGTGTCAGTGTGGGGCAGGGCAGCCGGAGCAGGGGGATCTCGAGGGCTGGGCGGGCCCAGCTCTGCAGCCACTGCAGCCAACGCCCTCCCCCCACAGCTCTTTGCAGCGCTGTCCGGTGGCTGCTGCGCCAGCCTCACCCACCTTGACGCTTCGAGGAACGTCTTCTCCCGCTCGTAAGAGGGACCTGGTTGGGCAGGGGGAACTAATGGGAGCCGCACCCCTGTACCCCGAAGCCCACTTTATCCACCCCGATCCCAGGAAGTCCCGGGCTGCCCCAGTTGCACTGCAGCTCTTCCTCAGCCAGGCAGGGACGCTACAGCATCTGGGCCTGGAGGGCTGCAAGCTGCCTCCTGATGCACTCAGGTCGGTATCAGGTCAAGGCCACCACCCTGTGTGTGCCGCTACCCCCAGGCCAGGCCTCTGCTCCTACCACTCCCACAATGTGTCCTCTGCCTCCTGACCCTGTCTTCCTAGAACTCTTTTGCACCCTGGGGTCCCCTTTCCCAACTCCTACCACCTCCTGTGACACCCCTTCCCAGGGCCCTTTTGGATGGCCTCGCACTCAACACACACATCCACGACCTGCACCTGGACCTCAGCGCTTGTGAGGTGGGCACCCCACCCCAGATGTGAGCACATGGGGGAGGAGGGAGAGCAGGCCTTTGGCTGTGTGTTTGCCCGTGGGGCTGAGCGTGCCCCACCTTCCACCTCCAGCTACGATCGGCCGGCGCCCAGGTGATTCAAGACTTAGTGTGTGACGCAGGCGCTGTGAGCTCCCTGGATCTGGCGGACAATGGTGAGGCCACCTGGGAACCTCATCCTCGCATCGTCCACCCGATTCCCGACCCCCATGCCACTCCTGCAGCCTGGCCTGGTGTGTGACCTGAGTCACCTCCAGGCTTCGGCTCAGACATGGTCACACTGGTGCTGGCCATCGGGAGGAGCCGGTCCCTGAGACATGTGGCACTTGGAAGGAACTTCAACGTCCGGTGCAAGTGAGCCCCTGCCCCACTCCTGGGCCTCCCAGATACTACCCCAGCACCCCAGTCCCACCTTCAACTGTGGCCCCTGCCCACAGGGAGACCCTGGACGACGTCCTGCACCGGATTGTCCAGCTCATGCAGGACGACGACTGTGTGAGTTCACGTAACCTTTAGAGGTCCCCTTTAGCCCCTCTGACTCTTGCTCCCTAAGACCCTGTGACCTGCCCTTTTTATTGACCCCTGACTCCAACCGTCAATGGCTTTCTCTTACCCCCAGCCTCTGCAGTCTCTGTCCGTGGCTGAGTCACGGCTGAAGCTGAGCACTAGCGTCCTGCTCCAGGCCCTGGCCACCAACCCTAACCTGACAGCGCTAGATATTAGCGGCAATGCCATGGGGGACGTGGGCGCCAAGATGCTGGCCAAGGCGCTGCGGGTCAACACAAGGCTCCGGTGGGCGGGGTCGGGGTGGGACGAACGGGGGAAGGTGGGCGTGGCATAGAGAGGCGCAACTTGCTAAGGGGTGGGGCTGAATAAGCCGAGCAAATGGAGCAGGCAGGTGGGCGAGGCAATGGACAAAGCTAGCGGGTTGGGTGGAGCATCGTGGAGCTCCACCCCCGGCTGAATCCCGGCCTGGCCCAGGTCTCTGGTCTGGGATCGGAACCACACATCTGCTCTGGGCCTGCTGGATGTAGCGCAGGCTCTGGAGCAGAACCACAGCCTGAAGGCCATGCCTCTGCCATTGAACGACGTGGCCCAGGCGCAACGCAGCCGCCCGGAACTGACGGCTCGTGCAGTCCATCAGGTGGGGTCCCATCTCCTCTCCTGCCCTCCTGAGCACTGTGGCTTTGTCCTCTGCCACTTTGTGATATCCCTTGTGCCCAGATCCAAGCCTGCCTCTTGAGGAACAACCGCACAGCC